TAAGAAGATACACTATATAGATCCATCCAAATACGTCAGTATTCTTCTCTGAAATTCAGTGTTGGAAATAATTTCAAACTATCATTTATATTTGCTCCCATTCCAATCATTTCTGCCAAGATAAGTTTACATTACTCTCATTCTTACATCCACACATCTTACAAAGAGAAAGGAAGTCCAGCAGTTATCTGACCTGTAGAATTCCACCAATTTCAGGGATAGAGGAAGAGGATTGGTTTCCAAAATGTCCTATTTAATACATTGCTTTTAGAATGAGAAAATGCATGGTGCCTCCTAGTTTTAAATGTCTTTCAGTGAAAGACATAGCAAAAAATCTTAGCTCCTCAAATCTATATTTCCCAATCTGTTCTGCAAAACCCAGTCAATAACTCTGTTTCTGAACCTCAGATTCAAATTATTCTACAGACCAATTGTTTTAAAAAAAAATTACATCAAGATTAATATGCACATAGGAAATATTTGGGGGGGGGACAAAACCAGAACACAAAGATCGATCATTTGTATATGTACCCCATTTATAGCTATTATCGTTTTGCATGTTTCTTATTTAAGATAGTTCATCAAAAGGGAAAATACAGATTCTGAAGCAAACCAAGAGATGCATTTTCAAAACTATTTTTGAAACTATTTCAAGACAATATACTGAAACTGTCAAAATTTGTTTAAAGATGCAAAACTGAGAGAAAATACCACAGGAATTCTGAAATATGCAGTTTTCTGCATCGTGGCTCAAAATCTTAAATGAGTTTATCCTTTTTCATCTGAATTATGGGATCCTGGGTATGGGATTGCCTTTGTCCAATTTATATATTTAAAAAAAAAAACAATAAAAGGATCAAAGTTCCTTAACTCTTCTCTAGAATTCCAATGAGAATCTGGACCACAATGAAGCATCCTGCTAAGTCATCAGTACACACAACTTCCTTCACATTAAAACACCTGAATTTTCTGTTAATTAAGCTGAGAATGTATTTTAAAAACTACCCTGCAATTAACCAGATTTTTCCCCAAATCTATGTTTAGTTTATGAATCTAAAACATTCTGCAGACTTTTTATCCTTCAGTTATAATTTCCATGTTCAGATAAATCTTAAAACTTTTCCATCAACACAGTTTATTTTAACTCAGTTACCTTAAGGCAAAAAATTTTTAATGCAATTTTGGGAACAGCTTCATTTACCATTGACTTTGATGGCAGATGAAATGCTAGTGAGAATATACAGGTTCAACCTTTAACAAATGTTCTGGAATACATTCCTTTCAAAATACTGAGTGTAAAATGCCAAAAAATAATTAAATAGCCCCCAAAGGCACAGTCCTCTGTCAAAATACCTTGTATGAGCCCCATTAAGTAAACAACTATATCCTGATACCACTCCCATATTTCCATGAGACCTACGCAGAGGATACACCCTATGGGTCTGACCAAAGCCCGTGTTTCTACAAGTATCACAATTTAGAATTGGCCAAGAAAAAATCTGCTTTGATGACACGCTCCTGCAAGTTTCAGGAATGTAAAAGGTTAAAGGTTATGCACAGGAACTGCATGAGAATATCTTCTGTATTCAAGGCACTGCTTAGCTGCAATTTCAGCAACCTTCCTCAGATGTGTGAGCCTTTCCTCAGGTGTAGCTACATAACAAGCTAACATTCATATTATGCCTAGATAATTGCACGTTGTTTCTATTGGAGTTCTTTTATTCGTTCATCACCCGGCAGGCTTGGGTCATCTTAAGAGTGCAATAAACTTTTCTATTGGTAGGAAATAATGGGACTTTGGATGCTGTTTGTATTTCTTTTAGTGTTAAAAAATAATTCTTTCCTCGTACTTTGTAACTGCAATGGTTCATTCCCATGAAAATTAAACAATCCAAATATTAATAATAATATTAATAATAAAGGCTTTCACAGAAAGCAGCATGCATAGTCTGGAAACAGTTATCAATACATTTTCTTGCATCAATCTCCAAAGAGGCTAAAAGTCTTCTTGTCTGGTCATACAGGAACCAAAAATTCTTGATTGAGCCACATTTCTTTCCCCTGGAAAGGTTTCTGCCCCAGTGTGCAAATGCTTTGCCAAAATCTGCATTCAAGGTTCATATTACTGAAGGCATAATTCTTCTTCCTGTCTCTTTGAAACATGAAGGAAAGTCCATTTTCTCCGAGCTTTAGCTTTTGTTAGCTGAATCAAAGCTTAATGTCCTGCGACTCTGACATTTTGGCAAGTGTTTTCTTTACTCGCAGGGCGGTGAGCCGAGAAGCAGGGTTGTGAGCCCAACATTCAGTCATTAATTTCCCCATTTGTCTTAGACACTGTGAAAAGGAAATAGGTATACATATATTTACATCTCTAAACAAGCATACATACTATATATATATATATATATATATGTAGTATATATATATATATCAAGTTTTAATGCTGGCTACAGGCTGAATTATGCACTGGAAACCTGCTTTTTTCCAATATAAATTTAATGCAATTAATCACAAACAATGCAGTGCCTGTAATACTGACCTCATATGCCCCTGGAGACTAGCACTGCCCATAAAATGTAGAATCATTTAAAATAACCCCACCTAAAAACATCAGTTTATTCCAACTTGATATTGGATTTGTCATTGTTCATTATAGTCAGTTAGCTGCATTGCACAGTCCCCACTCACTGACATTGTTAAGTAATGTTCCTATATCATCATGTTCATGTATGCAAGGCTAGACATGTGACTGTATCATTAATTTCGTTCATTGATGAATGCATGTATTTCTGTGCCGGAAACAAAGATGGAACAGCAGAACCAATTCAACTCCAAAGGTGTGACAATGAAAAGGATTGGGGCATCCTTTCCAAGCACACTACCGTCTAACTGCTTCACACTATAACTGCATCCCTATCTATAGATCATGTGGGCTGGAATGGATAAGAATTGCAGACAAAACATTTGGAAGTCATCACTTTGGGGAAGCTAAATTAGTGGATATAGCTGGTTCTATGAGAAAATCTGGCAGAACCAAGAACTGGAGTTCAGAAAGAATTCTGAGGCTCCTTTGATCAAAATTTGGTAGAAGAGTTTATGAGGCTACATCATATCACTTAGTTTCATGTTGAAACAAACAAGCAATCAATCAGCTTTCACAGTTTTTTTTTTGCTCAAATCTCACTAATTGTTCCACCTTACTTCTTGTTACTGAATTGCTAAACTACCATCTGGTTTTTTAAATGGTAAAAGCCAATCAGGGAGGGAGAAAAAAATCCCTGATCATGCTGTATACTGTTGATCATTTGGGCCATTTCAAAACACCACCAAAAACATCTATTACATGTCCACTTCATTACTGCTGCTGCTGCTAAGAACATTTCGTAGGCCAATTTGACATATTTGGAGTTACTTGTTGATGGAACACTTTGATACTACTGCAGAATCTATTCTAAATAAAGGAACTCATTTGGACAAGGAAACTGACATGAAAATAGAGTGACATTATTTGCTCTTTTTTCTGATTCCTTCATATAGATGTTACTAGACCTTTGTGTGCCATCCTATTCAGACTTGGCCCTTGAGAATCACCCCTCCCCTCAAAAATGGGACTAGAACAAATGTGATTAATAACATTCAGGTAAATATGTTTGTTCTTGAGGCCTCTGATGATTTTTCATTGAGCAGAAATATGTGAGGGTTACACCCAATACTTTGTAAGACAGCCTGAAGTTAGAACAAATCTCCATCTCTGAAATTCCATAGTAGTCAACCAAATTATTCCAGGAAGCACACAGATCTTCCACCCAGAGTCACTTTGTATGAAATGGGCAGCTATGTAAATATGATAAATAAATCTTCCCCTGCTCTAGTTCTCTTGCAACAAGCATTCAATAGCATAGTGCATCTTAAAATGTTGGCAACAGAAGGTATTTCTGTGACTGGTTTGAACTTACAATAAGAAACCTGTGACTTATATAACCTAACCACTCACTTTCATGCTATTTTAAACCTGAGTTTGTGCTTAAATTGCTAAAGATTACAAAGAAGTCAGTAAATATAGGAAGCGAACATCTCTCTGGAATTTTTGCAATTTACTCATTTCATTCTTTTTTTCCCACTTTTTAAAAAAGCCCTCTTTGCCTATGCCCCCACCATCACTCACTCAAGATTGTTTACAACTCTTGCCATTTTTAAGTCTTTTTAAATCTAATTGCAGAATACTTAAGCGAAGACTGCTATTCCCAAATCACAGCTGTCTCCTACAATAATAGCATTACACTGTACCACTTAACAAGATTAATGACCTCTGCATAGCATCACCATAACTGTCGGCAGATTTGTCTGCAATACATCAATTACTGGTCTACTGATTCCAAAACACAATTTTGCTTCATTATAAATTCTCAGTGGAAATTGTTCAGACTACTTCCTCCCTCCTCCCCTAAAGGAAAATATCAGTATAGCTTCAAAAAAGCAATTTCCCATATTAATTTACAAAAGTGGGAATAAGGAGCAGAAGACTCACAGCACCCCCCAGATTATCTTTTGCCGAGCTAGTGCGCTGTTTAGTGGGCTTGTAAAATAATCTTTATGTATATATAATCAACACATAAAGAGTTTAGCTAGGACTGTAGCTGGGAGAAAATAAAGGACACAGAAAAACAGAGCTCTCTGAGGAGTAGGATCCCTAAATCATACGATCCAGTAGTTATCCAGCCTATATTCTTCTCTTCTCATTCATTAATCCATCTCTGCAAGCAAATTTTGGCCATCCTAGCTGGGAATTCAGGGGGTTAAGAGTTCTTCCACACCCAGAAGATGCCAGGTTTAAGAACTAGACCCAACCAGTCCACAGTGTACTAAAAGGTAGCTATGCCTAGAAGTGGGCTAGATGGTTGCTTTGTTTATGAGAACAAACTATTATACTACTACTTCAAGAAAATATGACAAGCTACTTGAGCAGAGTAGACTGTAGAAGTTACAACTATTTTTATTTATTAAGGTAACAGTGACCTTAAGTTCAGCTTGACACAGCAACAATCTCTGGTCTGGAAGTGGCTTTTCCACTTCATTTTTCTGGGATGTTTTTCAATTTCCCACTTTAAGCTAAACCTCTGGTTTTCCATGATGGTTTCCCATGCAAATCCTAACCAGACATTTTTATTTATTGGAGCACTTTTCTCATTTATTTTCAAAACAAGCACCTTGTTCTGAGGAACGGGTACCTAAAAATAGTGAGTTTCATGGCTCAGTGAAGACTTACACCTGAGTTTTTCATCCTTGGGACAATTCACATGCAGGAATATCAGTTGTACTCTGAATGGAAAGCAACCCTCAGAACTTCCTCAAAGAGAAAAGGAACAATAGTTCTCTATCAAACAATCCACTCTTAGCGGTTGCAGGAATATGATATGAATTCCAGGTACACTTAAAAACATTTATTTTTATTATTTTTTAAAATTTCTGAATTAAAAAGCACCTTCAAGCTCTCAGGTCCAACCAATAGCTGTCAAGAGCAGGGCCTTTTCTATTTTGACTTCTATTTTCTGGAATAGCCATCCAAATCAAATCCACCAGGCCCCACGTACACTTTTAATATATCGCAACACTACTTTTTCAACCAGAATGATTTTCTGGCTTATTTTAATATTGTTCCCTTTAAAGATGTTTCATACAGTAGTTATAATTGTGAGAATCATATGTCATTATTCACTTGACTTGATTTTACTTGGCGAAAAAAGTATGGGATAGTAAATCAACACATCTTTTTTTAAAAAATGGGCCATCCTGCACATGTGAGCTGATATGAAGGGTTCATATTCTTTCATTCTTGTGGAAGGTGGAAAACTCAATTACTCAAAGACATATGCAGTTTCATCATAGCCTCTTTTAGTGCCCACGTTTCATAAAAGGGTTTCCAAAAGTATTCAGCAATGGATAGATTGAAGAGAAAATATCTCCCTAAAGCAAGGTCAGTGTCCGACCATTTAGATATTCCTTTTCTTCTCTTTAAGCACTTGGTTCAAAAATTATTAAAGAAGTACACAGAAATGGGATGAAACAATTAGTTTTCAAAATGTTCTCCTTACCTCATCGCTGCTCCACCTATTGGGAAATGAAGGCCGTAATTTCTTGATACATACTATTTCTCTCATGTCTTCATATGAAGGGTCACTGGAAACAAGATCATGATAGGGAAGCTGGTATTCTTCAACAATACCTAGCAGGGAGACCATTTGGCAAATACATAAATTTGTCTAGTTGAACATTCTTGTGAGATTAAGAAGTTTAAATGAAGCTCAATAAACTTGTTTATTGTTTATAAAATATTGTAATATTATATATATGAAATATCGTAATATATATTATATATGAAATATTGTAAAATAATATAATATTCTCTCTCTATATATATATGAAATATTGTAATATAATATATAATACATATTATAAATGTATATATGTATATGAAAATCAGCAGCAAAAATCAACCTATATTTTGTTCTGACCATTGGTATCCAATATGATGAAAGAGAATTTGCTGTAGGAAATCTTTCAAAGGAGAAGAAAAATTTGGTGAAATGCTCATGATGGAATATGCTGTTCTCATGAATATTTACTGATGAGAGATCCAAGGAACATGTGTGAAATGCTGTATTCCATTGCACAATCATCCCTCAATAGTCTGCAGCTTTCCTTACGTTGATCAAACCCCAAGGGGGAGATAAGACAGCTCCTCCCTCTGCTCTTTTCAACATTGAGGCAATCTTGCTTTTTGAGGAATTCTTAGTGAATTTTCTTTCCTCTGAAGAAATCCAAAGAAATCGTTCACCCAATTTCTACACATTTAGTAGAAACCTCTAAAAGGCTATTTGTGCTCAGCATTAGTAGGAACACACTAAAGGCAAAATTTCACATTTACCTCTAATATATGTATGAAATGCCTTGAAAGCACCAGGAGACATCACAGAGTACCACTCACACAGGTTCTATCTACAATTACAGGGAAAGGCTACTTTTCTGATGGCCAATGGTCATTGCAGACTTAACACCACTGCCTCCATTGGGGAAGAGTTTTAATTTTCACACTTTCTATGTTGGGGAGTTATTTTAAACTCTACTCAATGCTTGTCAGTTACTTAATATACTCATTTCCTTTAATTTTCTGATTAAAATACATGGAAATCATGCTGCCATTATTCAAGTTAACACCAAGTTTTGACAGTGCAATCTTCAGGAAGCTGGGTACTGAAAAAAGGGGCTTCGAAGTCTACCACCAGCCACTCTTCTTCTAAGGTGACTGAAGACATCTTCTCATGGTCAGGCATATGTTCGTTATTACTATCCAAGCCATATGGAAATGCAATCCCTGTTCTTCATAACAAATAATTCAATTGCAAACCGTCCATTGTAAAAGAATGGTACTTTGTGCAAAGCTGAAGGCCCTTTCCTAATTATTTATTTATAAATCTCATGAGCAAAACTTTACAAAGAAAATTGGATCCTGGTCTTTTGTGAGATTAATCTGTACACTGATTTTTAGTAATCAAAAGTGCTACCAAAATGCCAAACTTCCTTTTTTAGGTGCCTTCAGCTTAATAGAAGCGATCTGCATATTATACCCCTTTAACAAGGTTACTACAATATGCAGTTTTGCAATCATTTATACATCAGTCATAAGAAAAAGAATACAATAAAGTAGATGATTTAGGGTTAGCACTCAAAATCTTCTTGAATCTGGAATTAATTTTATATCAGTATAATACTGTTCCCTCCTATACACCTGCAGGCCTTCTAAAGCCAACTAACACCTGCTAATGCCTATCTTTCTGCTCTTAAATCTAAGTAATCTCCTTGTTAATCATAGTACCTAAGCAAAATCAACCTCATTGTATTTTTGCTCAAATAACAGCTGTGCTCTTGCTCTGGCAGTAATTTTTATAACCACAAGAGTTCCCATAAATGAGCTCCAAATTCCCATTACAATTATGAAATATTGCATCTTTAAAAGAGTCTATTAAAATACAGAATAAATCTTTATGGCTAAATAAGATCTAACAGAAAAGGAATAATAAGTCCCAGGAGTAGAAGGGGACTTAGTTTAGCACCAGCAATTCTTTAAAATAAGCTATTGTAATTCTTTTTCTCCCTTGCTAAAAAAAATAAATACACAAACATTTTCTGGAGACTAGTTTGTGTTAATTAGTTGCAGCAAAAACAAATTTAAAAATCTAATAAATTCTAACATGAACTTTGTGTTGTAGATACAGTCCATGAAATCTGATGGTATAATGTTAAAGGCATACAGCCATGCCTAAAATATTCACCTCCTGAAACACATCTCCTTGCTATTTCCCAAAGGATGAGCCCAAAACTGTACATATCAGCCATAATATATGATTGAAAGTGATTTCGATTCAAACTTTCATCCAGCACCTCTGGAGGCATGTAACGTTTTGTTCCGACTCTGGTGTTTGGTGGGATATCCACTTCATTTGTATCACTGGAAGATGGAAAGTGGAAAAATGACACAGGAATTAAGTAAGCAAAAAGTTTCTCTTCAAAAACTAAAATTGCTTATAAAAGAGAAACACCCACACCTTTCCAAATTAAAACTTACCTATGCAAGTCAGAATTAACAGATAATCTCAACGGAAATTATTCTTACAAAGAAAGCTTGTCAAGTGCTAACCAAATGCTCATTTTTAAACAAAATCCCTACCCAGTGTTATATTAACCATTCAATTGCAAAACCAGAAAAGAGGGGGGAAAGAACTCAGCAGAGGTTGCTGGAGACGTTTTTGAGAATTTGCTGGCAATAAATTGGAATTCTGATGCCAAGGATTACAATTATATTTCTCTTACAGATATCTTAAGATGCCTCAGATTCTAAGGCTTTCATGGGGGATAACAAAAAGCTAAGGAATTACTATTCATGATCTTAAGGAAGATAAGATACATATCTAATAAAATTGGTTAGGAGCGGTGCCATTTATATTACTGTATCTCTGCATCACCATCACCTTAGATGCAGTGGCAGTATAATTCAAATTACTGAAGTGGACAATCTTCAGTTTGAAAATATATTAGTTTGAAACTGGCTTATTCTCATAAAGCCACAGTTCATACACTCTCCCTTCCTGCTCTTTCTGGTGGGTTATCATCATCATAGGATAGCTTCCTGTGGCCTTCTGAAAGGGCAGTAGCCTTAACTGCGACACTCAACTTCTCAAACATTGCCCACCCCTACAGTAACATACCCCTTCATGGATCACTGCCTTGTCGTGGCGAAGGGGCTTGCGTAACTCAGTGAAGCCATGAGCTATACC